ACTCTGAAGTCCTTTTCAAATAAGATAGATGGCTGGATTTGGACTCCCCCTTAAGAGACTTAGTTCTAAGTCCGTTGAATCAAGACTCTCTTTAGACTAAGTGCATAGACCTGACCGACAACATCTCTGGTGAATGGGATATGTGTTTTCTCCATAACTACCTCCAGGAAGATGTTATCCAAAATATTTGTTCCACATTGCTTCCGCGCTAGTGTGTTACAGATTCAAAATCTGTAAATGATAAAAGATAGAGAAGCAGAGATGAACCTTGAAACTCAAAAAGAGAACAAATTGTTATTATTCATCTGATATCTCAAGCTCCTTTACATTCTCACATTTATACTATTCTACCTAAAGCTATACACAATCGTCTAACAAAATATGCAACTTCCTAACAAACTCAAACATCCTAACAACTAACTCTAATATTCAAATAGCTCCTTCACTTCAGACTGAGTTGTAACTCTCTCCTTCACATAACAAAAACCTGGTTATTTTTCAAGAAATCCCCCTCGGTCTGGCTCCTCTGTCGATCCATGATTCTAGGTCCTTACTTTGCTAGTTTTTTCTTTCTTTCTTTGGGCTTCGGCTTTCTTTTCTACTAATTTTTTTTTTATATGTGCTCATTTTCTTTTCTTATTATATATTATTTATTTATGACTTGGTATTGGTTTTCATATTTCTGATTTATGAAAAGTCAACACGTTTGTTTGATATGCTTTTGTTCTATGCATGCGACTCATGAAATGAAATGGTATGGTTATAATCAAATAAATGCCTGTTAATTATTTAACAAAAAAAAAACAGAACCCGTTAATCGATTGTTTCAGTTTCGAGCAATAAAACCCTGAAAAGATTTTCAAAATAAAGATTGATTGGTGCAACTCTGTCTTTTTGTTTGAGTTGTATGTATCGCAGAGCATCACATCTCAATATCTCACTCACCCATGTTTCAGGAAAGAAAGATGCTGCGGGATATACCTTGAATAAACATGCGTTAAAACTAAGTAGTGACCTTGTACTAAAACAATAAATATATAGTGATGTTGAATTGGTGACAAAGCCATTGTGAAAAATTACACATAATATTAACTTCATTAAAAATTGGGCACTTTTTTGTGTGTGTGTGTGTGCTCCAGCCCTTTCTTATAACATAAAATCTGGATGCAAAATTAACTTATTCTAAGATTATGTATTTATTGCCCTCACAATGGATATACAGTGGACACCGCCCAATTGCAATAATTAGATATCTGTCAAAATCTGATCTGATGTATATTATTTTTTGAGTACAAATTTTATTTAGAATATATATATATATATATATGTAGGATCTTTTGACGCCAGTGTCAAATTTGAAATTTGATATCTTATCTAAAAGCCGTTAGATCAAAAGATCAATGACTCTAATTTGTAAGTATGTGACACAATTGATCTTTTTTGATCTAATGGCTCTCAGATGAGGTGTCAAAGAATCTTTCCTTATATATATATATATATATATATATATATATATATATATATATATATATATATATATATAATATGAGAAAAGTATTTCTACAGTCACTTTAGATAAAGTTATCTACAGCTACCACTTTTTAACTAAGTACGACCGGTCGTACTTAGTTATAACAATAAAGCTACTCTTTTTTTTCTCTCTCCTCATATACTGTCGGCTGACGTGGCGGAGAAAGAAAATGCACTTTTAATGTACGACCGGTCATACTTAGTTAAAAAGGGATAGCTGTAGACAACCTTATCTAAAGTGGCTGCAGAAATGTTTTCTCCATATAATATTAGGCTTTAATGCTTCTACAGTGAATTAGATAAGTTATCTACATTCGCTCCCAAAACGACGTCGATTTGAGTTAAAATATAAAAAAATATAATAAAATAGACTATTCTAACCCTGAAATAAATTATAATTATAAAAATACCTTGATTTTCACCTCAAAACGACGTCGTTTTGGGCTAAATGTAAATAAGTTATCTATATTGACTCTAGAAAAAACGAACTCTTAATATTAATATATAATTGCTTATTTTATTACAATCAAGGTAATGTTCGACCAATTAGCTTATATGTATGATAAGGAAAATTATATTTATAAATTTTTTATTTATAAACTCTTACAAATTATATTATGTAATATGGGTAGTATATATTATTTGAGCATGTACAATCCACAATATTTAGTATAGTTTGTAAAAGTTTATAAATATAACATACCCAATATATGATTTATCTTTTCAAATAGATTAAAAATAAGTCATTTTATGCAAAAATCCGAAGGTTACAGAATTTTGTTTTGGTAATCCCAAATAATTAATAGTTAAATTTAAATTTTAATTAGTATACTTATTGACATACTTAATATTAAATAATAATTTTCTGTTAATAAATAAGTATATAAAAACAATTTTTTTTAATAAAAACACCAATCTAGATACATATATAATAATTTTTTTTTCTAATACGTTAAAATTATTTAAAATAAAACCTTATGACACTTGTAATTTTAATAAAAATAATAGTTTTACAAATAAAAAAATAAACACAATCATAAATACAATACAATTATTTTTTTTATTAAAATGACAATTGTGATAGTTTTTATATGAAAGATAGAAGTGCAATTTGAGTTCTATTTTTACAATAAAAATTTATAAGAATTTAATTTTGATACATCGTTAATATAAAATATTTTTATATCGATTAATTGATGAACGAGTGAGATTAATTAATTTAAGATGATAAAATTATTAAATAATAAGATAATATATTACCAAGCACAAAAATAATTTTTTACATTGATAATATATCAAAAATTTAAAAAATTACTAATGATATCTAAGGACACGTATAAAAAAATTAAAAAAAATCTACTTTTTTATGAAATCATTTTAGTTACTTAATTTTAACATCTTTTAAAACATTACATACTTTATTTTATTTTTTTGCATTTTTGACAAAATCCTTATTTAAAATATCTCTAATCTACGAATCTCAATTATTTTGCGTTAATTGTCAACAACAAATAATTTCTACCGCCAACAAATTTATTTATTTTTAAAATATTATAATATAAATTTTGCAACCACAAGATATTGACTATTAGAGATTTTCTTCAACCGTTTCAAACCACGATGACCGAACTAAAAAAATGGATAACTAAATTAACCAAAAATCAAAAATCGAAAAAAATAATCGTATATTTTAATTGGATTGAATCAGTTTTTTGTTTGATTGGTAAAAATTGATACAATCCAAATCGATTCGAAAGATGTATTGGCTATGCCAATATCTATAGTTACTTCAGAATCTGCATTCACCACGGGGGATAGAGTTCTTAATAATTACATGAGTTTTCTTACTCCAAAGATAGTTGAAGCATTAATTTGTGTTGGTTTCGGTCCACTCCTTTTTCTATGATGTAAAAGAACTTATAGAAGAATTTGTAAAGATGGAGATAAGTAATTTTTTTTTTTTTTTTTTTTTTGGAGTTACCCAATCCTAATTTACTTTATTCTACTTGTATAATTTTATATCTTTTTTTATTTTTTTTAATTATTAAGTTACTAACAATATTTTATTATAATTATTTTAAATATTTCTCCAAATACCGAAGTTGATAATGATTCTGGTGCAGATTCTGATTAAAAATTGATGATGTAAGTTGCTATTTTTTAATTTCAATTATTTATGTATTTATTTTAATTTGTTGTTGCTTGAACGATCAGTCCAACTCAAACTCTTATTTCCATGAAAGTTGCTTTCTTGTTGGTTGTTGGGAAGACTACGGAGTGAGCTTTGATCAAGTTAAAAGAGTAAATTATGGAAGAGAAAAATGATGATTTGAAATCTTATTATTTTGTAAATTTGAAATTTTGGATGTTATTGATAACAAATTATCTTATTTTAATTTTTTATTTTCTATCACTCTATTTTAACTCTTCATGAATTTTAAGATTTATTTTAGTTTGTAGACTTAAATTTTCTAGTGGTTATAACTTTATATGATTTTTTTTTTGGTACATATAACTTTATATGATTTTATTTTGATATAGTTAGATTTATATGGTTGAAATTTTAGACTTTTCAAAAAATTAAAAAATAATTCAATCCAAACCAAATAAAATTAGATCAAATTTAAAAAAAAAAAATCAAACTAAATAAATAATTAAATAATTAAACTAAAAAAATTGAATCAAATAATTTTTACTTCAAACCTAACAACAAACACCTCTAACGACTAGACGTTATGCATTGTTTTTAAGGTTTTATTAATCTCATGTTAAAGGATATAAACTATTTCATGTTATAGAGATAAATTTGTGAGCTTCATTATCTGAAAAATAAGAAAAATAAAAATGATACAATTATCAAAAAAATGTGTAAAAATAAAGTTATTACATATAACAAAAAAATAATTTTTCTCTTGTGTTTAAGTCACTATTGTCAATTTATTGGAACTGTTTGAAAGTTGAAACTACATCAATCCCACTTCATAACAGTTTAATTTAGTTTCGACTTTAACTCAGTGCTTCTGCTTTCCCCAAATCCACAGTAACCATTGGCTGTGACCAAAAAGACACCTCAAGCACTCGGTGACACTAGACTTGTACTTTCATTTATTTTGTACATTATAAATAATCATACAATTATAAATACTTTATTATAAAATATTAAAATGTAATTGAATAAAGTCACGCAATGTCAATGATGATCCCTTTTGTCTTTTCCTTATTTAAAGAGGCAATAATGGGCCAAAGAGAAAGGGCATATGGGAACACAAAATTGATAAAATAATAACAATAATAATAGTACAGAGTACACACACACACTCATAATAATGTGCTTAATATTAATATTGATGTGTTGTTGTACTAAGCAATGTTGAATAAAAAACAATAAAATAAAAACATTGTCGGTGGATTCATGGATTTTTGATAAACTGCCAAGCCAAGCTAAGGTTGACACTTTTGTTGTACACCAATTCTTTTCTTTCTCTCTCTCTTTTTCTGAAACCGAAACTAAAGCTGAAGCTTATCCCTCCCCACTTGTTACCTTTGCCGTATATTAAAGGCAAAAGTGAAACAGAAACAGCATAAGCCATTAAAGGGAAGTTTCAGTTGAGAGATAGATAGATAGATAGATAGATAGAAGATAGATAAGAGGGTAAGATGAATGGTGGTGAATCGTATGGTGCTGTTGAGACACAGTACATAAGGAGGCATCACAAGCATGAACCTAAGGATAACCAGTGCACTTCTGCACTTGTCAAACACATAAGGGCTCCTGTTCACCTTGTTAGTTCGCTTCAATCCTACCTTTGTGGATCAATATCATGGTTTTTTGCTTCTAAATTGAGTCTCTTCTGGTTGGTGGAAAAAAAAAAGTTTCTTTTTTAACTTCTTTTGAAGATCTGTGCCATTTTGCTTGTTTCTGAGTGCCTTATTTTTCGTTTTTAATGTTGTATATCCATCTGGGGTGTGTGTTTTTTGGCATTTTTCTTGGTTTTTGTCTCTTTCTTGGGGATGGATGCTTATTCTAGATTTTGGGTTCTGTCAGGGTATTGCAAAAGTTGGAATTTTCAGCTTGTGAGATGCTAGTTTTGATTGGTTTGTGTGATTCTGAAATCAGTTATGGGGAAGGGGTAGTTTTCATTTTGTTAGGAGATTTCATTGGTTTTTTCGTGTCACCTCCAATTTCTGAAGTTCAAGAACATAGTCATGTAACTGGAGCAGGAGCTTGTGCTTTTGTCTTGTATTTTTTTTTTTTATATATAAAAAAAATAAAAATTGTTTGTCAAGTTTTACGATTCAATCCTTTTGGTCATAGAGCGCGTGTAGCGGAATAGGAAAGAAAATGGAAAATTTTAAGGCTGGTTTTGGTTGCATATTGCTTAGCAGCTGATAAGAGTTCTTCACTCATTTGAGTTTCACATCTTTATAGTGCCCTTTAACTCTTTGTTCCTAGCAGACTTGTTTTCAGTAAACCAAACAATGCAAAACATTCTTAAATTTTACATAATCATCTTCCACTTTTATTCTTTGTAGGACATTTGTTGAGGTTCAGTGTCATGAAATTGAAGGAATAATTTTATGTGAAGGCGTGTGTCATTATTTGGTGAATTTTGTGGCAAGAGAGAAAAAAAAAATGATTACTGATTGATCTGATTAGTTTGTTTCTCTCTGTCAGGTGTGGTCGCTGGTTAGAAGATTTGATCAACCCCAGAGATATAAACCATTTGTTAGTAGGTGTATCATGCAAGGGGACCTTGGCATTGGAAGTGTTAGAGAAGTGAATGTTAGATCTGGTCTTCCAGCTACAACCAGTACAGAGAGATTGGAACAACTTGATGATGAGGAACACATTCTAGGCATCAGAATTGTTGGTGGTGACCATAGGCTGAAGGTTTGTTTTTCTATTAGTATCTGATAACCAAATATTGTAAGCTTCTACAAAGTCATATTGGATATATGAAATGTAAGTATTGAGTGAGTTATTAATTGAGAATATTCTACAAATGTAGAAATTGTATAATCTGATAATTTTTTTGGAAATATTCCAATCGGTTCATTGCTTCGCAATTAATCCGATTCGGGACGGGTCCAGGATTAAGGCTTTAAACCCCTCCCAAAGGTGGTACTGGGGTATAATCTGATAATTCTATTGCTTATTGTAAAGCCAATCATGAGAGCTAACTATTAATGATTAAATTTGGATGAAAGAAAATAATGCATGTTTGTAGATTTTGTTTAGGTTGTGCATTAGAACAGGATACTTCTCTCTTTATTTTTCTTGTTAAAGTTTGTCTTCCGGAAGAATTTAGTATTCCTTTTTGGAAATCTGAAATTTAGTAATTCATAATGTACTTGCAATCTTGATTACTCAACTTAATTTGCATTATGTTTGCCTCATTTTTCAACTTTTCATTTTCCTAAATTCATCATCATAATTTACTGTGCCATAATCAATATCCTTTGGTATTTAATTATATTATTTAACATGTGGCACTGACTACAGATGAAAAAGTCTGTGCAAACTTGAAAGATTATTTTTGATAGAATAGGTTGGAAGATCATTTTTAGTAACACTCTTGGATTCACAAATTACAATGCTTGGATATTTGTTTGAATTTGCTGTGACATGCACACAGTATAGGCTAAGTATAAGTTTGTTGATTCAGTTCTTATGCTGGTATGTTGACACTAAGAGATGAATTTACTAGCTCTAAGCTGGATGAATGCTAACTCAATCATGTTATGTGGAATTTGCAGAACTATTCTTCTATTATCACGGTCCATCCAGAGGTCATTGATGGAAGACCTGGTACAATGGTGATTGAATCATTTGTGGTAGATGTGCCTGATGGGAACACCAGGGATGAAACTTGTTATTTTGTGGAGGCTTTGATCCGGTGCAACCTTAGCTCTTTGGGTGATGTCTCAGAGAGGATGGCTATGCAGGGTCGAACCGATCCTCTCAACATATAATTACTTGTACGGGAGAGTGAAGTTGGGTTCATTACAGTTATATGATCCATGGCTTTCTGATCCCAGTTCAGGTGTGGAGATTGGTTGGAGTATTCCTTCCATGTTCCCTGAAGTTTTGGATGTTCTTTTCCTCTGTATCCCCACTACCATTCCTCTTGCCTTTTTAGCTGTGTATTCATCTTTTGAATAGCTAAGTTTCTATTTTTCATGAGCACACTGGGATGGGAGTGGGGAAGCTGTTTTTGTGGATGGTGCTGTGTTACTGCAGTTATTTGTAAATATTTTTGTTGGAAAAAGACATTTTCTGCAGTCTTTCACGTTTAATGTTTAGTAGAAACTTGTAAGATTTATGTGCTGGCAGGAGAGGACCTCTAACAGTGAATACTGCCTTGTTATTTTGCTATGATTAGTGTAGTTTCTGTAAGTTATCTAGTCAACATTCTCTTGTTTAGGACTATGTTCAAACCACTCAATCGAATTTAGTATGCTGCTGGTTCTTGGTAGGAATCATGCACCTTGATTTGAGGAGTTTCTAAGAGCTATTTCTTCTTCGAAGTATTGTGAGCGCTTTCAAATTCAACTCTATTTAAATTCAACTCACAAGAAAAAGGTTTTAAAACAATAGGTGAATTCTTGATTCGTGGTTGCTTCTTTCTAATCTAAGTTTGAAAGGACTGCGTAAGGAGTAATATTTGCAGTACTCTTATGATACATATTTTCTCACTAAATGTGTAGGCTCATGTGACATAATTGCAGGTTATGAGTTAAGGAACGAATGTTTGAAGCATTACACCAAGAGATATCACAGTTTGGAATGTTCAACAGCTTAGGAAATATTAGAAATAATGCAAGTTATTAGGCTTCAGTTCATACAGGACCAAATAATTATGCTGAAATTTATTGGACTTTATGTGAATATAATATTAGATTATATTATTAATATATTCAATAATTATAAATATAGAAACAAATGAAATATAGATGACTCTTATATTTCTAACTTCAGTAAACATACACACAACTCGTACAAGAGGGGTTGAAGTGTTGAAGTAAAATTCAATCATGTCTATGAATGCGTGTGCGAGTGAAATTTTCTTATGTATTTTGTCCTCATCCGTAGCTTGTAATGCACCAAAAATAATCCATCTTGCAAATATATGACCAAGTTCTCTGATTGAGGATTAAGGGTGGGTATGGATACTCTTATAATTGTACAATTATTTATGCATGGCACCTTCATGCCTATACATGTGATAGAATTGCAATAAATATACTTACAAAGCTTAACTGATTTCTGTTTGAAAGAGACAAATTTCTGCGTATTAATTAGTCTGTACAAAGTAGTTTGCAGAAAGCATTAGTTGCTAATTTAACTGTACAAGTCAATATGTGATTATTTCTGGCGGAACTCAATTTTCAGTTTCCTGTACACCACTCGTTAACTTGAGTGTGAATCTGAATATTTGTATCATAGTCAGTTAATATCTTACATCAGCTCTGAAAATTGTATGCATGTATTTTATCTACATGTGAACTGACAGTGAATTCATGTGAAGGATGTTGAAGAGGATGTGCACAAAAAAAATGATGTAATGATCATAGACAAAATAATCTTATAAAATATATGATTTTTTTTGTCAACCTGGATTGCTAGTTGACAAGAATTTGACAAAAAATTTATAGACAATCATGAGTTTACTTTTCATTTGCTGATGAAGCCACCTTGAAGAATAGATGCTACTCCTGCCAACGGTGACGGTGAAACTTTTAGAGAGATATAAAATAATTAATTTAACCTCATTCAATACTTTAAGATTTTGGGTTGAAGGAGTGCTAAATTAATTATTTTATATCTTTCTAACACACCCCTTCACGTAAGAGTCCTTTGGACTTGAAGCGTGAATATGGCACAAGGTCATTATGAGTCTGCCTTGTGCTGCACAAGCTCATTTTTTTGGTCTGTCTTGTGCTTTTCTTAATTCCACCTGAAAGTTGGAGCGATGAAGATCGAACTCGTGACCTCGTAGTCACTGAAGCTCTGATACCATGATAAGCGTCACTTCAACCCAAAACCTTAAGACATTGAGTAAGGCTAAATTAATTATTTTATATCTCTCTAACAGAAACCAGAAGTACAATGTTGCAGAAGTGGCATAAATCTCTAAACTGTCATCTCAGGTGGATGTTGTAGAGAGTGGTTGATGATGCCTTTGTCAAGTAACATGAATATTTTTTTTAGTGAAAGATAAGCCAAATTGTTGGTGATGCTGGCCCCCCAGTAATATATCTGTTCCAACTTTTTCATACTGTGACTTGAAGAAAAAGTATAGATTTCAGGTGTAGATTGAGATCTGCAGAAAGCGTGTTTCAATGTATCAAACATCAAGAAGAGTCTGATTCCCCACAAGTAACGTGGTCATTACTTAATTTAGCATTCTGTTTCCTTCATGAACACACTCCCTCCGTTGATACACAGAAGAGCATAATAAACACAGAAGAAAAAGCTTCATGCTTTTGCCTATGTTTCTTGTTACCAACAATCATTACAGGAGCATTTTCCATTCATAAAATGGTGAAAACGACCGCCAGCCCCTAGGAAAATCTCGCGATTTCGAGCCAAAGAAATGTACTTAGCTGCTGTATGACAGTCATGACAAATTCTTGTGTTCTTAACTACCCTGATAGGTGATCCACCTTTTGTTTTCATCAGTCCATATGTCATAGCCAACTTCTCAGTGTGACTGAGCAGAACCTTCTCCTTCTCATTGTCATCAATGTTCTGATATACACAACTGACATCAGGTACATATCCCAGTTTTTGTATTTCAGAAATTAATTGATATAACTCAAAATATATTTCCCCTTCTTCTGGATGTGGTTTCCCTTTTGTGGAGAACACATGAATGGTTTGATTAACTTGTGTCCAGCTCCAGACATCAAGCCTTTCCAACCCCAAGGCAATCATTGAGTCTCTAAGGTGTTCCACATCCTCCCATTTGTTTAAAGAGGAATATATATTCATCATCGATATATAGTTACCAGAATTATATAGTTCCAACTTGAAAAGATTCCTTGCGGCAATCTCTGCCAAGTTAATGTCTTTGTGAATTCTGCAGGACGCAAGAAGAGCACCCCAAATACTAGCATCTGGCTTTATTGGCATAGTTTGGATGAAATCCAAAGCTTCATCAAGAAAACCAGCTTTGCCAAGAAGATCTACCATGCAAGAGTAGTGCTCAATTCTCGGAATAATATTGTAATCTGTCATCATACGGTCGAAGTACTTCCACCCTTCATCAACTAAACCTGAATTCTTGCAGCCAGATAGAAGAGCAGTGAAGGTTATAGCATCAGGTCTTATACCTGTTTCGCACATGTTGGCAAAAAGCATCATTACCTCTTCCCCATGGCCATAAGTAGCATATCCCATCATTATGCAATTCCAACATGGTAGTGTTTTCTCCTGAATTCTCATGAAAACCTCATGGGCCACTTTTAATTTTCCTGCCTTACTATACATGTCAATGAGGGCTGTGGCTATATATATGTCATCCAAAAACCCAAATTTCATAGAGAAGCAGTGTATCTCTTCTCCTCTCTTTAACAACGATAGGCCTGCACACGCACGAAGTAAGCTGCAAATAGTAGTAGAGTTAGGTTTTACATTTTCTGCTTGCATTTGGCTGAAAAACTGTAGGGCATCCCAGTAATTCTCATTCTGAGAAGAACCTGATATCATAGCAGTCCAGGACACCACATTAGGAGTAAATCCCAAATTCTTGATCCGATTGATCACAGCCAAAGCTTCCTCACTACGGCCCCACATTGAATAACCCGAAACCAAACTATTCCATGTCACCAAATCAGGCTCTATCCCTTCCTCCTCCATCTGGTTCATTAGTTTTTCAGCATCAATAAACTGGCCCTTGAAGGAATACCCTGATATCAATGAATTCCAAGCACAAATATTTTTGCTCTTTGTATAATGGAACACTGATTGAGCTTTATCTAAGCAATCATTCTTAATATACATATCCACCAATGAAGTACAAACATAGACATCATAGTCAAGCTTATTTCTCATTATGTAACCATGGATTTGCTTCCCAAAACTAAAGAAACCCAATTCAATAATTGCTTGTAGAGCACTAGTTACCGAGCATGAATCTGGCTTGAAGCCTGCGCTTTGCAGGCTCCGGAAATTGGTGAGAACCATTTCATATGACCCCTGAAGAAGATGGCCTGACAAAAGAGAATTCCAAGTTATAATGTCTGGTTTAATGCTGGAAGACTTTAATTCTTGAAAGAAATCCAAGGCATCATTCAAACAGCCCTCAGCTGCATAACTTGAAATTATTGAGTTCCAAGATGATAAGTTACGATCCTCCATCGAATCAAAAACTGCTCTAGCTAGTTTGAGTCTATTGTTTTTAGAGTACATGCTAATTATGGAATTGCAAATCAGTGTATTTGAAACTAATCCAAATTTTAAAACATACCCATGAATCTGCTTCCCTTCATTGAGAGCTCTGATTTTTCCACATGCTTGCAGCAACTTAACTATGGTACCAGCAGTGGCTTTGGCATAAGATGATTGCATACTACGGAACAGTTCTAAGGCATTCCCCCATCTCTCACTCCTCAAGTTTGCTATAACTATTGTATTCCACAAGAAATTTTCTTTGTGTGGGGTCTCATGAAATACTTGATTTGCACAATCTATACTCCAACACTTCTCATATAAATTAATCAATGCACAACTCAAGTGTGAATCAACATTGAGGCCTCTCTTGACCATACAAGCATGAATTTCCAACCCAACCCACAATTCCATTAAAATTAAGCAAATTTTCAGAACAACAGTGAGAGCTTTGCTATCAAATTCCACTCCTTTTTTATGTAATCCCATAAAGACAACCAGAATCTCATGTGGGTCACCTCCAAAACTCTCAAATTCCTCCAGAAAAGAATTCCATAGAAAATAATTCCTTGCAAAACCCACAAAGAATACCTTTATTGCTGAGATAAAATCTCCAAACTCAAAGTAGTATCTTATCATGCTTCCATCCATTGTAACAAAGCTTCCCTTATTTGGTGTTTTCAACATCTGGGCATGCAATTCCCTAACAGAATTCAAAGTCCGTATCTCACCCAAGTTATCCAAAGGGTGAAAGCATGGAGAAAATCTTGGTGGGGAAAATGGAGTAGAAGAAAAAAGCTGGGTATCTGGCATTCCAAGAGAAAGTGAAATGGGTGAATAGCTTCTGGGTGGCATGTGGGTTTGTGGGTTCGGAAAAGAATAAGGATTGAGATGATGAAAAGGAACTCGCTTATCCGTGAAGCTTTGGAACTGAGAGGAGGACATTTAAATAGTAAAAAGAGCTCTAGCTTGAGCTTCAACTATTACGATGATTCATTTCCTAATTTCTTCATTTGAATTCTGGGTACTAGAATGTTTGTCTGAAAATGTGTGAGCGAGTGGGATGTATTGTGTTTTGTGGATAAGATTTATCTTAGAACTCGGAAGTGAACTTGAACAAGAAAAGTTAAGTGACCTGGGGAGGTTTATATTTTTTAATGTATTATGAGTATAAAATCATCATCGATTAATGATCATGTGTATTTCAAACAAGAGTTCAATTTTGATATTGTGTAAAATATTTTATTATATGTTACTAATATATATATATATATATATATATATATATATATATATATAAGAATTTAATCTTATGTTAGATATATTATGTACGATTTTGATTTTTTCATGTTACATAAGAATTCTTTTCTCGTATTGTGACTTAACTAGTAGTGAGCTTTATATTTATTTAAAAATAAAGGTTTACACGCAAATCAAAGGATCATAACACAACATAAGAAAACACTTCTCATGCAACATGAGAAGTGTTTTTCCCATAAATATTTTGGGTTAGGATTATTTTATGTCAGTGTAAATTATATTTTTTTAATCTTAGTTGTTGATTTTACTTATTTCTAATGGTTTTGATTTATTAGAATGAAAGTCATTAGATCCAGGCAAATCAGTGATCAAGTTCTGACATGAAATTTTTTATTCTTACACTGAGTGTAAAAATAACATGCCCTAAACATTCTTTTTAATTTCATTCTCTTATTAATTTAAAAAATTCCTAACGATATCACTCTTCCATAGTTCTATTAATTATAAGGTTTTATAAGAGTTATGTTGTAGGAAAAGTGGAGTGGTCATGTTATAGAGATTCGTATACCGTGTCTTAGGTTTTTTTTTTTTTTGCTTCAAAAAATGTGAAGTCCATAAAATATTGTGTGTGTAGGAAACTCCTTTTTTCTATTGCATAATGGATGCAAATCCCTTAATTATAACTACATACTTGAGATCCTTGATGGGGGGTCTGAAGTGCCCCATGTTCCCATATGAGTTGTATTTAGCTTTCAAATATTCAAACTTAATGTTCATATCTTTTATATTCTCGTAGCTATAGTTTTTATTATTTGGGATAACCCGTCCAATATCTTTACTTTTCGAGTCTATATAACCATTGTTTTTATTTTTAGAGAGTGTTTGGTAAAAAGATAAATATTAGATTTCGGGAAATTGACATGGAAATCTTATTTATCCACGTTTGGTATAAGAATTATGAATTTTTTTTTAAGAAAATCATATTCACAGGATTTATTTTTGTGAAGCAAAATCCTATTAAAGAATACCACCGAGTGGGTGGTATTCTTGGATTCTCATCCGGCGGAAAATTTTCACAAATATTTCATGTCTAAAATACACTTAGCCTCGTAGATCCGCTCGTTCGCTTTTCGGTTCCGCCATCCATTGAACAATACTCTTCTCTGGTCAGGTCAACTTCTATTTTTCTTCATTTCTCTCTTCCATTCTCATTTTCCAAGATCTCTATCTTATGCTTTCTTCTTCCCATCTTTTCAATCTTATTCTTTCATTCTCTGTCACCAATTAACTCCCACCATCTAATTCCATATCTCATTTTCCTTGATCTCATCACATGATTGTTTTCACTTTCTACTTTTATTCGAATTTTAAAATTATAAGTTAGATTCATTAGAACCCTAAATATGAGATTAATGTAAGTCATTGGAACAAAGAGCTTTCTCCAAATCTTGCCTTTTTTTATGTTTATATGGTTGATTATGTCTGTATCCAAATACGTAATGGTAGAAAATGGTTGGTTATATATCTGATTTGGTGAATGTTTAGAAAACTTCGTTATTTCTCTTCAGGTTATGATTTGAATGGAGAGAACTAAAGGTAGCAGTGCCTCAGCTGTTTCATCGGTTAACAAATATTCTAAGCTTATAGCAATATTATAAAGGGTAATTTTGTAAAATCAACTTATATTCTCAACAATAATTGGTAATAAACTAATATAAAATCAGGAAACTTGAGCCAATATTTATGGGAATATTTTGGCCTACCAAACAATTTTTAGGTAACATTCTCAGAAAATCTACTTTTCAGCATATTCCTGCAAAACGTGATTTTCAAGAACAAAAAAAAATTCTCCTCTACCAAATGCCCCCTTAGAGCTTGTGTACCCAATGTGCATATACAATGTTGATATCTTTCATATCCTCCTACCCAATGTCCTTGTTTACATCCCTGTGTGTTAAAGGATAACCTATAACTTATATGCCAAATTGTTAAGTACTCAATTACAAAGTATACAAGTTTAAGACTTAACACTTTTGTACAAAAAGCAAAAGTAATAAATCATGAGAAAAACACATGCTTCGTAATTATCTCCTTTTGATTTTAAACTAATTTTCTAGTTTAATGAAATATCTTATGAAAACCACATCATTCTCTTCTCCCTAAAATGCAACATGCTAATGTAAAAGTTACCTTTAACATTTGAATTACTCTCTTATCTTAGTCTATTGCTTCTAGAATTTGTAGGGCCATTAGATGGGGTCAAAACACAATTAATAGAAAGTATAATAAGTCAACACCATTGAAATTTATTACAAGAAAGATTGCACTAACTCATGGATTTATATCACCAAGGTTAGAGGTTCTACATAGAAAAACTAAATGATTTAAACATTGTTCTATAGCATATTACATTGGCAATCAGCAAAAACTAATAATAAATGACGCTAACTTATTCCTTATTCTATCACCCAGATGCCTGAATGTATGCAATAGTAAGTATGATTCTTCATACCAAGTATTGAATACCCAAAACAAATTTTCACTCACTTTAAAAGAACCTTTTTCATTTGGAGGAACATTATTGTTTGTCCACACTGGATTTTCATCTATCATTATAAGGTTTGGATCGACATCTGCCAATTATAGCACAATGGTGCAAAATAAAACTGATAGCATTCAGATATTTCAAAACCACATGCGACTCAACATAAACAAAAATCAAATGTCATTGCATCTTGTCAACATAATCAAGGTACTATTGGAAAAAAATAACACCAATTTCCCTTTAAGTGAACTTGTTATGTATAATTTAACACAAGCTAAGTTAAATATACCAATAACAACTATGCAAGAACCAAACTCAAAGCAACACAAGACAATTTCAACATGGAAAATCCCCTCATAGTGAAGAGAAAAAGTCATGGATCAATTTCAGAGTCCACCCAAATTCTTCACTATTAATAAAAGTGACTTGAACAACTAGAGCACCAACAGTAGCTACAAATAACTAGAGGACTAATAAACAACTTGAACAAAAGTTGTACCGAAAACAAGAGGTATGCACACAAATACAGGTTTTATCCAACATAGAACAATAAAGGAGGAACATACTAACCAAGTTTGAGGACAATGTTACTGTTGATTAAAATATATCCCTCCTTGAATCTATTTACCTAAAACAGGACAGGATTTCTGGTGTCCTCTATTCTTTTCTCAAAGAAGTTCCAATAAAAAGTCCTAACAGTCAAAATCTAGAAACCAATGCACTAGCACTTTTCTCAAAGTTTGAGCCTGATTCAACGATGCATTTAAGATGTACCCCTTTTCGAATACTGCTGCTTGTTGCAAATTTTTTAGCTTAATCCAGCTATGGAATGAGATATCAAAGACTGAAGAAGATTGCCTCTCTATTGCACAACAAAAAATCCTTATTGTTTTTTCTTGTTTCTTTCCCAATAATGTGTTTCTTACTTGTCTATAATGGCTGCTCCTATGTGTACAAGGAAACCTTAGGTCTATCTCTTATTGGGCTGGACTATTAGGCTTTTTAATGAAAAAAGCTCAACATGAATCAACCTCGACATAATTAACTTGCTTGCAAGTTGCCTAGTCCAACACTCCAACCTTGTAATTATATTGCTTACCTTAGCAACTAAAATAAATCTAATAATCAAGAATCTAGGCTCAACACACCAAAGTTGTAACTCTTCTCATATTATCACGACATAAATAAAACTCATACCCAAGATCCCCAATAGAGGATCTGAATAGCCCCGCCATGCTATATTAGTTAACTTTACCTTTCAGATCTTGGTATCTTATTTACATACTTTTTAGGACATCGTGCCTATTGTATTTCCTTTTTAGGTCTATGCACACAGTATATTTATCTCTTGGGTTTTTGTACCCAATGTCCACACCTTTTAGATACCCGTACAATCATTTTTACATCTTAGGTCCCTGCATGCCCATTGAGGGTCCTCATACCTATCATCATAGCTTGATATGTTCTCATACCCAATGTCATTACCTTTCAATTCCTCGTTTATTACATTCTTATGTTTTAAGGGGGCGTTTGGTTGAGGAAATTTTTTTGGAATGGTAGGGAAATGTAATAGATAGAAAAATGATTGCAAAGATAGATAAAGTGAGATAGGTAGAAAAATGTAAAAAAAAAGTTGTTTGGTGGGGAAAAACTTTACTGGGAAAATTAGGTAACTTTATGAAATCAACAGTGCATTAAGAGCCAGATAACCGGTTTTCCGAAAAATCCCACCTTCAAATTGGGTTTCTAAACAGTGCGGATATCTATGTTTCTCATAAATCCATACAAATTGGATAGATGGGTTTTTGGTGAAAATACGTTGAAACAAACATGGTGTTTCTAAAAGCCATACTTCAGAAACATAGATATCCGCTGAAAAGCTCCCAACCAAACACCATCTAAAGGTAATCTTCTTACTTGTATGCCAAGTATCTAACTACTCAGTCTTTACGTATGATTATGACTTAGCACTTTTTGAAATAATTCAAAAGGAATATGAATATAAAAAAGCACGAGAAAAATAAATTATGAGTGTGATGATCATATAATTGGAGACATTGATGTTCTCTAAATATCAAAAACATTTTTCTCATTGTAAAGGGCAAAGAGATACCCCCCCCCCCAAAAAAAATGCATTGTCTTTGACTTTCGGATATCAGTACCACACGTCCATGCCTAATAAGAATGAATTTTTGGTACCACCGTCGT